TGTGTGTGTGTGTGTGTGTGTGTGTGTGTGTGTGTGTGTGAAGTCCTCACAAAGACAGCAAATTGTATGTGTGTGTCTCATTTTTCTCTGTGTTCCTCTGACAGTTTCCATTATGCTTGTTGCTGTTTTTGCATCAAAAATGCTGGGATATTAAAACATAGTCATTTTATTTTATGTAAAAATATAATAATCTGTTTAATATACAAATAAAAACAGAATATTTAGCACTAGATAAAATAAATCATGAATTTATTTATTTATTTATTTCAAGAAAGGGCTGAAAGAAGAAATCCTGTGTGGCAGCACTTCACTCAGCCTGCACCAGACGATGCTTAGTCAATAAATGTTTTTGTTTGTTTGTTTTGTTTTAAATTGAGAACTGTGTAACATTTGTTATCATTCTTATTTTTATCATGTTAATGTAGGAAGAAAAGGCAGTATCAGCTTCAAGAATCGGCCAACAAAAAAAACGGCGACACGTATCAGCGTATCGGTTAGACTGAAGTAAAATAAAAAAATCGGTATCATATCGGCCTTCAAAAACCTGTATCGGTCGATCTCTAATGGTCACCAAACAAACACATTTCTTCGGTTGAATTTATTTTTAAAAATGTATAATTTAATTGATTATAGCACTTTACAAATCATGCAACACTCATAAAAAGGGAGTACGTTCAAATATTCAATCAAACTTTGTTAAGCGAGAGTCATTACTGTCTTAAGGGAATGGAAATGTTTGTAAAACCTTGAGGTTTTATCTGAGGGCAGCACAGGCTCAGTTTGTAGAGCTGATGCATCTAAACAAGGAGGTTGCTGGATCAGATCCCAGCCTAGGGACCTTCTGGGTAGGGTTTACATGTTCTCTCTGTGCACGCATAGGTTTTCTCTGGGCACTCCGGCTTCCTCCCACAGACCAAAAACATGACTGTTAGACTAATTGGTCTCTCTAAATTGTCCCGAGGTGTTAGAGAGAGAATGACTGTCTCTATGTGTCCCTGCGATGGACCTGTGACCTGTTCAGGGTGTAGCCCGCCCCTCGCACTGACTGCTGGATATGGGCACCAGTGACCCCAATGACCCTGAAAGGAAGAAGCTGGGATGGATAATGTTTTACACAAGGTTCCAACTTCAATGAAATTGGGGCTGTAAATAACAAAGGTTGATATAACCATTCATATGAATGTTCTGCCAAAGCAGAGAGCTCAGAACTGTCTATAGAGCACAGTTTATTTTTGTAGGTAACAAAGCTAATTTTGTCAAGATGCAGGTTTTAGTTTTTTCCCTAAAATAATACTATTTGCCAAAATTGCACAAATTAAAATTCAATGTAACAAATYAAGATGAAACTGATCTACAATTTAATGTAAAAAGAATTGTGATGTGATATTTTCTCCACATCACACAATCCTATTTAATAGGTGGTGGTCTGGCCCCCCCGACCAGACTCCAGAACAAGCAGTAGATAATGGGTGGATGGATAATGATGCAAAGGTTAGAGAAGGCAAGTCTAAGTTTGGGAAACCACAGGTTTGAATCCCCACACCTACATATAAAATTTGAATATGAAATGTGAAGCACCCACACCTTTAAGGCCTTCACAAACTCCATCTGAAGCTGAGCAGTCAATGTGTGGTCACGTTGTAGTTCAGTGTTTGTTATTGCACACACCTATTATAGCCACAGAGACACATCGCACCAAGTTCCAGGGAAACCCCTCCCACTGTGGTACACATCACTGCATGAGGTTTTTTCCTGCTGGAGTCTACACTCAGAGAACTGTCCACAAATCTGTCCCAGTCAAAGCTCCAAACCTTCCTACAGATGGATTCCTCTGTGTTCAATGTCTGTTTTAGTTCCATTCATGAGTTGGCTGTTTGACAATCCTAATACATGTCTATTTCTGATACAACAGTTGGATCCTGGAAGCAAGTTTATTTATTCATTCATTCATTCATTCATTCATTCATTCATTCATTCATTTGAAGCAAAATACAGCATCCAAGATCCTTAACCCTCCAGCTGACTGGGCACCCTGGATTGCATCCCTCTGCGCCACATGTGTGATGTGTAAAAATGCAATGAATTAACTCCCAATTAGAGATTAATGAAGTAATTATGTGTAGGGTTGGGCATAATCGTATCGTGTGCAATTAATSATCAGAAAAACATTAATAGATTATTTTTTGGCACTTGACAATTAATWTGATTATTGCCACCAGGCAGAGTCTGCTCGSTGCTCCTCCCTGCTTCAAATACGATGAACATTWAAAAAAGGTTCTGTAATTTATTTATCTATCAACASAATTTAAGATTTGATGTATAGCCTGTAGGGCTGCACYGATTAGTTGAAATAATCGATTAAGTCGTTTATGTAAATTTGTCGACGCAGATTTTTTATTATCGATTCGCTGTATTACATAACCACCACGTGAATGTTCATGCAATTC